ATAAAGGATGGATAGATGGGTGGATGGATAAATGGCTAATATTGCATTACCTGTATTGTTTTTGCTGCTCTGGCATTAATACATAAAATACCTCAATTTGTCTTTGTTTTATTTTATTGTTTGGAGAATAGCACTGTTTGCATAAAATAGCCAACTCAGGCAAATGCAGATTTTTTTTTCATATTAATAAATACACATATTGACAGATCCTAGAAAATGCAGTATGCTGAAATTAAAATTACATGTCTACAGAGAAAAAAAAAAGGCTCTTGCTACAGGAAAAATCAAAATTTTGGAGAACAATGGTTGTAGTGATCTACAGCTGGAACCAACAGCTAACAGCATTTTTTCTTTTTTCTTTTTAAAGTCACTTAACCAAAATGGCCCAAAAAACATGAGCAGGGTGGGACTACATATGGATGAGTTTTCTCAGATCAGAATTTTCTTTTTTGTTCTGGAGAGATTTGTGTCTGGTGGTCAGGAGGAAGGACAAGAACATACTGATTCAATAAGACACCACATACTCTAATTATTGGTGGCATGAATTGAGATAATTATAATAAATACTAGTAATCAGCAACAATTCTATTGAAAGCAGCAGCAACTGGTTTCTGTCACAGGGTCTCTCTGGGAACAAATACATTTTTGGTGACAAGTTCTGGACAAGAGACCTTTTCTTTCATTTTCTGACGTTTTCTCCATCAAACCCTGGGAGTTTACATGTCTGATAAAGAGACGAGTTCTGACTTTTCAAAGAAATTCCCTAAAAATTATTAAAAAAAATGTAAACGGTACAAGTCATAACTCATTTTTAAACATGTACTTACATAAAAATATACATATTTATTACATTTTTATAACTTCTTTAACTTGGGAAAACTGTAAGGCTCTCGTTTTGCTATCAACATTTCTCTGAACCAGTTCTTTCGCCCACTTATAATCAAAAGCAGACAGAGGAAATACTTTTTTGTATGCATCCTTGCATTCCTTTAAGGGTTTTAACACAGCATTCTTGTACAAACTGCTGTGATGAAAAAGCGCAAATCAAAAATGCACGAGAGCCGAAGTGCCTACTGGTGACCATATGGTGATGAGCCTATATTTTCAAAGTAGCCTAAAAAGTGTGTGTGGGTGTGGGATTAATAATGTTCTCAATAAAAATACATAAGGTTTGATCATGTATCTGTGGGATTCCAAATGTTAATGTGCTGACTGGTCAGCATCATGAGTGCATTATTGCATACTGCAAGACTTTCATCTGAATCCTCCCCTCCCCGGATCAAGAAAATGATACTATTACCAAATGTTTCTGGTTTTAGATATGATTTTTCATTTAAAGATTAAGAGATGAAGAAGAGACGGAGTGTAGAATGAGCGTTGGACTAAGACAGAAGAGAAAGAACACAGCAGCAACAAGATTAACTCCAGGTCATCTGGGGTAATGAAGACAGACAATAGGTGATCAGATGAGGGATGAAGAACCACACTATAATGCTGGTGAACTCCTCTAAAGCCACCCGCTCTGCAGAGCCAATCTTTTACGGGAAATGTGGCACATTCAAGCAGTGCCCAGCTCAATTCCAACAACTGATGAAATTGATTATTATGTGAATGGGGATTCTTCCAGAGATAATTAGCACTGTGTACAAGGTTAAGTGTTCCCCAAGGGGATAGGGGGTGGCGTACGTCAAGAACAAGCGCGAGCAGAAAATATATATCAGGGCAAAGGAATTTTTTTATTTTTTTTTAAAAGAGTCTACTAATAACCTAGTTTAAAAAAAAATCACTGTCATTTGCTGCATATTCTTGAACCCTGTTTTAACAGTGGAATAAAGATGAAAAAAAAATCATACAGATGCAGAAATAAAACAGATACAATGAATGCATAAAACTGAGGTACATTTTATATTAATATCTAAATTACGTAATTTTAGTGTGTTGTACAGATTACCTTAAATTTACCAAAAGGAACTTGGTGTTAGTGCAGGTTGGAGAAAAAGCGTATTATTTTATGTCTTGTCAAAACAAAGGTTATTTTATAGCTTTTGTTTTTATTACCAAGCTAAAGTTTGTTTATCGTGTCAGATGCTATCAGGGACCTTGACCTTTGTTTTTAGCCCCAAAAGGAACATCAGACCTAAAACCCTCTGAGGCTTTAAAGCCTCTAAAAAGGTACCCAACCCCCCTTCTAATGGTGTACTTCTATTAGAATTGATAACCCTTTCAAGCAAGACCAAATACTCTGGGCACACAGTGAGAAAAGAGGTTCATTCCATCACAAAGTTATTATCCACGGGCAGATTGTTACCATTCATCACGTGCAAGAGATGAAACTCACTGTTAGTCAAGGGAAACGGCTGTTTCACTGCCTTACCGCAGATCAATATATGCCGCCATTTTCTCTTTCTCCTTTGCTACAAAAAAGTAATTAAACAGATGAAATGTTGACAATCAATAGACTGGTCAGTAATGTCTGCTGTTCAGGCCAGCAGAGGCGCCTTTCTCTGCTGTCAGGGATGATACTGAACTCATACTGGGACAAGTATGAGTTAGTACTTTTGCCCTATGAATTTTTTTCTTTTGCATCTATCTTAGATATGTGCGTTGACATAGTATTTAGGAATAATGGAACACAAAACAAAGGGACTGACACAAATGAAATTCACTGAATATTGTGAACATTTAATTTTCTTTTTGTAAAACATGTGGGATGCAGTAACATTAGAAAAGGACTTTTTATTTTTTAAATCAACTCTTTTATGAGAACCTAAAAACCTGTCAGTGTATGTTTTACTTGACTATTCTCAATGAATCTCTTTCAAATTATTTTCTTTAATGTCCATCTAATGTAGTCACTGTTCAGGTCTTTCATAGAGGTAAAGAAGTGATAGCAATGTCACTTTAAGGTCCTTTTGGTGAGAAAGTGGTGGACGTTATCATTCAACGCATTCATCAGTCTTTCCTTGACACCTACTTTCACTTTAGACGAGTCAGAACTTTATAATCCACTGGCAGGGTTCAGAGGTCAACAGCAGAGGGTACCAGAGGGCAGAGAAAATCACTCTCCTGCAGGAAAAAATTCTGACATCCAATTTTCAACTTGATTTATCAGTGTAAAGCTAAAATTGATAGTGTGTCATTACTGAGCAGGGAGCTGTCTTGGAGAGATGTATCAAAGTCTCCTCATTTTGATTTAGCACAGTGGATCAATACAACCCTATACTGTTTCAATTTGAGGAGTATTGATTTTTCTATGCTGACTCTATACAAGGGGACATTCATCATCAGGCAAGCATATAGTATGATCAAACAGGCCACCGTAGGGTCGGATCTGCTTATTCTTCATCCAGATCACGTGACTGCAGAGCAGCCGTTTTCAAGCCTTGGACAGATTATTACCTTGTAGCTGTTGTCATATGTACTGTAACACTACTTCCTAATGTTGTTTACCACAATAAGAACAACGGCTCAAAATAAAGTAGCTCTCAGAGACGCAACCTGCAAATGCTGAGTCTATGAAAAACAGATTAATCTATTTTTTTTGCCATTTATTGCGAGCAGCTGTAAAAAAAACTAGTAAAAATAAACAAATACCAACCAATCACTCCAATTTCTGTCAGTTCCCTTCCTAAGAATAATGCGATTTGTAATATATTTTTGTAATGATAAATATATTTTTTTGTGTTTCCATTAAATTTGGAATTTAAAGTTATAACAATGTCTGTGCATACGAGTGAAAAACAAACAAGGAGCAGGCTTTGTTTCTCTCGCTTTCTGTGTGCACCCCCCACCCGCACACACACACACATATGCACAAACACACAGAGCAACATTACAAAGCCTGGGGGCTTTATATTTTACAAGGGCAGCATAAATGGGAAAGTTAATGTAGCAGTGAATAAGAATAAGCTGCTGAACTGCAACACTGCCTTGAGCTTGGGAGCATATTGCATCATTTTTCTTCACCAGCAGGTTACCATTAAATTTGAATTTGTTGGAAGTTTTGTTGTATCATTTACAATGCGCCCACGCTCAATAACCTTTTGTTTCAATGCAAATGCTATGCCTCTCAGAGGGGTTCCATAAATATTTGAACAAGAGCCCTGAATTCTATCCATTACATTTTTTATGGGTTAAGATTCAGCTGGTTTTAACAAAATTTGTACTCACAATCGGCATTCCTCTCACCCACAGCCAAACTAATAGAAATTAGTTTTTAGCTTCAATCAGTTTTTGTAGTAATTCTGTTTTTAGGGTCATGCTGAAATAATTTACAATGCATTGTTGTCTCATAAAACATCCAAATGTTTTTTTTTAACATAAATTAAAAAAAATGAAAGAAAACACAATTTGGATGTGAATAAAATGAGCACATCCAATTTTTACAGTTCTAAAACACCTTTGGAAAAACAAGCTCAACAGTGCCGGTAATAATACATTTTCTTTAAACAGAAATGTAGCTACCAGAGTTTCTACAATGTTTTGGTGATAATTGCAGATATTATTCATGATAGAAAACGTCACAGCTTTTAGGAGTTTATTCTTAAAATAAAATAGTCAAACTGAACTTTGTGTGACCATGTTGAAACAAACAAGGGTGGGTAAGCAGAAAGCAACTCGTCTTAACAAGGCTCATGGGGAATGCTGTGACTACCACCAGGTACTGCGCTGTGTTCCTGAGAGGGTCAAAGAAGGCTTGGACAATGCTGTGGAAACACCCAACCTCCTTCTTCCACCCGAATATGTTGGCCAATCAACTGTCCCCGAGGGATTAAACCACTCCAAACTGTAATTGTGTTTGCTGACCCAATCACTGACCCTATTGGATGCTGGGAAAATCACATTAACTGGTGGTCCTATCCATTGACTGAAGAATACCATGAACAGGTAACTTTGGTCCTGAAGACTGGACCTGACACTCCACAATTCTGGTTCATGGTAAAGACGTGACATGCCCCACGCTGGTCCGAAATGGAACTAGTTGATTTGTAAGGTCTTACCTCTGGTGGCCCAGTGTACCCCAGGCACCATGCTTGTTGGTGAGGATGTTGACAATTTTCTGCTTTAACTGGTTGGCCGTTACATGATCTCTGTGTTTAGCAGCACTGATCAGGTGGTCACAGATCTTCTCTTCCTCTTTTCTTTCAGCTGCATATTGTGCACAGCTGGACTATATTGTAAATAAAAGACAAGGGATAACAGAAAAAAAACGGTGTGAATGTCATACATATACACATTTTATGGGAGTGATGCACTACATCGCACTAATAGCATTTGAGAATTTTTCTTTTTGAATAAAGTCAAAATAATATATTTCCCTTAATAGAGTATTTGTCACACTGAGGAATGTTATGGCTTCATTCACCACACTTGAGTGCATAAAGATATTAGTAGACAGTTGAGAAATGCATTTCTGCTCCCTTGGAGGAATGCAGTAAATCATGGCAAGCGGATGAAGGCAATTCAGTTCTAAACTGCAGACAGATGATGTTCCCTGCTAGGTAGCTGTGGATGGAACTATTAGAGGAGAGAAAATAAAATACTCCAATAATTCTACAAAGAATGTGGTTTACAAAGCAAGGCTGCAGAACCATCAAAAAATTGTGGATTTTTGTCTCAATAGGGATGTTGAAAAAATTGTTTATTCTAACAATACGAAAACATTGTTGCAAATAATGCATACAATCAATTACATATATTAGAAAATATATATTTTTTTGTAGAATAGTTAGAACCTTTCTGGATGCAAGTACACCTAAAGCGTGTCAGGTGGAAGCTGAACATAAACTGAGCACATGAGACCATCTTTGCTGCTGAAACAAGATTGTCTTACTAGGCCACCCTGAGGGAAGTCGGGCTAATATTCACAATCTAATTTACTAACAGAAGCTGGAAGTTAATTGAATTTCCTGTTTTAAATTTGAATTCTGTCAGATATCGTACTTCACTCTATTCCTCATAAAGCAGATAACTCAATCCCTTCCTGTCACCTCACATTACCACGTGACGCTGTGACAAATATCAAACATTATTTATCACTTTAAAGCGTATGACGCTTCCCCTTGACACCAAGTTAATTGTAAAAATGTCTTATCTGCGTCCTGAATCTTCAATCTTGGAGAGTGGGTAATAAAGTAACGTCAGACCTGGATGAAAAGTGTAAGCTGTCTGGAGTTGGCAGACAGAACGGATAGGGCCAGGTACACCACCCCCCTCCACCCCCACAGTCTCTTGACACTGCATATCTAGCCGTCTCTTCCAGTTTATCTAACAGGTCAAGGATGCTCAAGAACTGTATATCAAGCAGCTGTATGAGGATGGCTGCTCTCCCAAGATAAGAAACGCATCATCCCTCACACTGTTAACAGAGGTGAGTAAAGTGTGTTCAAACACACATTCTGACATTTTACAGTAAAACAAGTAACACTTTAATAAACTTTTTTCTCATAAATTTCACAAATGCCCTGTTGATTGTAGTACATGTATTTGAATTCGCACCATCTTCTATTTTATGACTTCATTTACATTTTTATTCTATAAAATTAAACTACAGTATTGTTATATGAAATATATGAAGAAAAGTTAATGTTTGAATGCAGTATGGTTAATACAGAGTCATTAGTTACCCCTAGAGTTCCTTGGTAAAAGCTTATTTCAAAGTCCCAAATTAATATTGCATGGACATCCCTTGCTACCATTAATTATGCTCTTTTATACATGAACTGTAAGAGGGGTGGGGGATAATCCTCATAAGGACACAGAACCATTACTGAGCCCATACACTTGAATAGCTGTTTTACACTAATAGGATTTGTTTGGGCCTAATTAGAAGATTGACAAATTCTATTTTCACAGCAGATGGAATTTTTTTAAATAGAAAAAGAAACAGTGATGTACCAATATATATGGCCAATAAGCTTGTAAGCATCATTGTTGTTTGCCAACAAAGTCCATGCTCAGTAATCCAGGTATACAATCCAACAATTTTCAGTCTGGTTATCTGGAAAGTTTCTTTTTTTGTGCTGAAATGTTTCACCTTCCATCCAGAAGGCCTCATCTGTCAAGGAAACACAAACACAAAACTGATTCTTCCCCCAACAGCTTGCTCCAAAGTGGAACAAACCAGTTATGTTGGTGCTAAGATGGTGTCTTTGGCACACCCCCTCCTCCCGTGCTGGCCCTCTCCCTCGTCGACAGTCATGTCAAACTGGTTCAAAACAAACAAAGCCCATGCTCAATAAGGTTGTGTGTTTCTTTGACTGATGAAGCCTTCTGGATGGAAGGCGAAACGTTTCAGCACAAAACAAAGAAAAAGTCCAGATGACCTGACCAAAAATTGTTGGGTCATTGTTGTTTGCTTTTTTTAAATTTTCTGGTGTGATGTAATGTGACAACTTGTTTTGACAATATTTTACTTTTTTTAAATCAAATAAAATGTCTCGATACCTCAAACTCTGCATGTTTGTGGACGTCCTCTGCTCTCTGTCTGTTGAGGATAAATTCAGCCTCGTTGGCAACGCGAACTATGTGGTCCTTCATGGCATGGCACAGCAACCTTGAACAATGCAGAATGTGTTAAATGCAGCCAACACCTAGTTTCCACAATCATACAAATGACAGGAACATATAGAAATGTCTTGGCTAAAATCTGTTGAAATAAAATCCAGATGGAGCAAACATCACGAGACTGTGCAACCAGAGCAGACAAATAAACAGCATCATTAGTTTGTGTTATGTTGTAAAGCTGCAGGTTGGTGACAGATCCTTCTGTGGCTTGAAGGAAGGAACAGTGTGTCATTAGAGTGCTAAAGCTTAACTGAAACTTTCATACTACCTTAAACATCCACACAGTGAATTTGAGAAGACTGACAGAGTAGTAGCCCTCATTCCAATTTAAATTCTACCTTTTTTTAAATTGACTGAAAACACTCAGGATATTGCATAAATTACATGCCTCTTTACAGACCATTATGGCATGTAATTTCCCTCTGTCTTAATTAAAACAGCCCTCGCTCCTCTCCAGTGCATGAAACATCTTGCTGTTTTGTCTCCAGTTGCAAAGAAAATCAGTAATCTGGAGGCTGCGGCAGTTCCTTCTTTAACTGTTGACAAGCACTCATTAACAGTCAGAAGTTCACAGTTCAAAAGGAGAGAGGCTGACAGCTTTGTTTTGAAACCAAAAATAGAAGAGAAAATAAGTTGACAAGTCATGTTTGGAGACAGAAACAATAGATGTGCCTGCTATCTACCACAGTTCTGCGTTTAGTTTTCAGGCCTAAAAAACAACAACTGCTAAATGATAAACTGAGTACACAAAAAGGATTCCTCTTTTTAAAAAGTGTGGTGAAAAAAAAACCACATTTAACACAAAAATATAAAAAATAATAAACAAAAATGTTTTTATATCAACATCGGCAGTCTTAAAATGTATTTAAAACATATTCATTGTTCAGTTTGCTCCTCTGATTCCTTATGAACCTACAATTGTAAAAAAAAAATACACAATTTGGACAAACATAGATAATAAGCATGTGCATTTATTTGTTACAATAAAAGTATATCAGCCACTGCAAATTTTTTTTTTTTTCCTAATGTTCATAATGTCTCAAGATCTGATTAAATCATAAAGAAATCCCCTGTCTCATCCAATGAAGGCATTTTTAGTTTGTTTTATAGTGGTTTGGCATTGAAACAGCTTAAATAATAAGCAGAGAAACAGCACACATAGTTGCTGCATGTGTTGTTGCACATACAGCAAAAACAATGTCTGTGTCAGCCACGCCTTGTAAAGCAAACAGATTTACAAGGCACTACCCTCCAGATCTGTCTAGTTAAGCAGAGTAGGCGTTAAAAAAAAGACTTTGGTAAGACTGGAACATCATGTCTGTTAGCAGTACCCTGGACAGCGCCGTGTGGCCCCACTGACTGTAGCTCTTTGTTCCAGGGCCAGCAGGAGACCCAGAAACCTAGCTGGACTGGAGCAAGAACCTGGGCATACAGGAGGAAGGGCCAGATGGGTCAGCAGATGGACAGTGAGGCTGAGCTGCCCCTGATCTGCTCTGAAAACCCTGAGTCTGGCCACACCCAAACAGAGAAAGGGAGGGAGTGAAAGAAGCACAGGAAACCAGACAAAGGCAGACAAGAAACTGTCTGCACATGCCTTTATTTCTAAATCATATTGTCAAAATTAGTCCAATGTTTTTGTTAATGGTAGCCAGGGAGACACATAAACGTGACCTACTGATAGGAAATTTAAAAAAAAACCTAATGTCTATTATTATATTTAGGTCTGATTTCACCTAATAAATGTATTACCTTCCTTCATTGATGAGCTCAATGAAAGCGAGGCCAGCATTCTTCTGAATCGAGTTCTGCCATTCCTGAAAGGAAATAATTTCCAATGCATTACTGAAAGCAAACCTAGCAAATGCAACCAACAACAACAACAACAACAACAACAACAACAACAACAACAACAACAACAATAATAATAATAGCATTAGACACTCTTGCAAAGTATATAAAAAGTTTGAATAAAACACAACACACTGTTTTGAGCATTGCATAATTAAATCTCTCATGCATAACAAAAATTAGATTTCACCAAACATAATCTATGCTTCAGTTGTAATTTAGATTACATATTCCAGCTTGTAATTCAAGTAGGTAAAGAAAGCATTTAGTTGATATATCCTTTGAGGAAAAAGTGAAGACTATAAAAAGCTGAAATTCTGCACCACATGTGAGACCGTCCTTTCTTCCTCTGTGAAAAGATCTGTAAACACAGGAGAGATGTAATTGTGGGATGAAACTTTATCCTCTCCCTTAAATACGGCCATTTCCTCCATCCCATACAGTGACAGATTACTGAGCAGGCTCAGTGAGCCCTGAAGTGTGCGCCTGGAACGGATCCGAGCCATGGGCCTGAGTGCCAGCGCTTGCTGTCTCACAACATGCTCTGGAAATGATTATAAAGCAGTTTGAGAGCGCGCCTTTCACTGTGGGAAATCCAGCTCTCCTGTAACCTCTGTGAGGTGCAAATGGAAGGGAAAACAGAGAAGGCCACAGTTCAAAAGAAGTGGGAAAATGAAAGGAAAAGCTTAGAGGCCCCAGAGGCTTCTGGTGTGTAACTCAAGGGTATTCACCTATAAGAAACCATTAGACATGCTAAGTAATCAGTGTTATACATATTTGTATATTGATATTTTTTTTAAATTCAACTGAGAGCACATATGGGGATATAAAAATTGGAGATGCAAAACAGTGACAGATGCTGCTTATTCTCCATGTCTGGACAAGGTAAGCGTCTTGTGTCCAACAGAATAACTGGCACTGACATTATTATGTATGGGCAAATGCTTTTGTGAATAGTTGTCATGACTGACACATACCGGTTCATGCAAGACTACACAGTCTGACCCCACAATGCATTACAAAGAAATGGTGCTGGCAAACTGCTGAGCATCTGGGCTGCAAATGTTCTTCATGACCTCTTCAGCTACAGTATCTGCCTAGAAAGAGGCAGTTGTTGATTTGGACAGGGATCACGTGCAGTTTCACTTTCACCACTCTCACGTGACAAAAATAAATATGGGTATCAATGGCAGACATGTGACTTAGAGAAATGTGGGGAAAGTGGCAGCAGGTCAGTGGAGGTAAGGCATGAGCTAGTCAAATTAGTTATCTTGTCTAAGAAACACTCGTTGACAGCTGAGATAGCACATCAGAGGCTTTCTACTTTTTGTATGTTTTACTGGAGAACTGAATTCCCAGTGGAGACTGCCTTTGATAGCTAAGATAGACCCCCCCCCCCCCCACACACACACACACACAAACCATCCCCTCACACACTTACAAAGTGCCCTACTGTACTACCTGTTTGAAGGCAGTCAGGCCTACAGCCAGATATGAAGTTTATTTAATAGCCTAAATATATTTTTAAAATGTATTATAGCCTAATTTGTGTTTTTGATCTTCTGAAAAACTCCATATTTGTTTTAGGTAAATCTTAAAGAGCAGGTGAATTCTTTTGCCTATGCAAGGAACTATTTAACCCCCAACAATAACGATGTGAACTTAGTGTGGCAAATAGTGCCATTCTTCATTCCAGCTTGAACAAATATATATCACCACCTAAAATCTCAAATCTCTCATCCCAGCAAGTAACTTTCAGGTCTTTAGATGTATAACTCTTATTTTACTTTCATCTTCCTGAAATTCAGCAGGGCACTAAGTATTTGTGGTGTTTCAATCCAACCTGTCAGTAAGCAGGGGCCTTTGCTTTTATCTGCTTGGCTTCACTCTGTTATACTCTCCACATCTGGAGGCCTTCAATCAGTAAATCTCTGCGGCTCCACTCTGGATCCCCCCCATATACGTTTAAGCTGTTACAAGAAACAGAGCCGCTTGACCTTTTCATTCAGCTGCCCAGGCTGAGGACAGACATACAGTGTCTGCAGCCGAGCCCAGCCACACGATGATTGCTGTGATTAGTATGCATAAATAAGAAAAGTCGGATCATTAACACTAATTTATTCATAAAACTGACAGTTCACAAAACAGTGGGGGGACTAAAGGTCAGCTAAATGCCGTCCTGGCTGTCTTAAAACATTAACGCTGAAATATGTAAGGGACTTGTCAAAGTTGGCATGCCATGGTGATGTCAGCCCAGGCTCACCTTCCAGTTAAGAAAATTTACGGTGCTTTTCAAAGTCACCAGAGATGCCTTCAAAGATACCAGTTAGGACCGTACTGCAGTGTAGTTGTGCATCAAAACAAATGTCAAGTCTGGTCTTGACTTGAACAAATATTGCAAAGAAATAAAGCCATAAATGAAATGCATTTACAAAAGCTTTTCCAGTCATGTTGAGCACTAAAACCCTCCTAAAAGACTAAAACAGATGAGTAAGACACATACTTACAGCTCTTTTTGGTCTCTTAAAAGCTTAGCCATGTTTTTCTTTATCATACACACAATCACAAAACAATGAATGTATCGGAGGTAAATTGGGGTTTGTGTCTTGACAAGAGATACTTTAATTTAGACTCTGGATCAAACCTCCAGCCTTTTATCTGAGCCACCCTCCACCCCCAAAAAGAAACTGAGCAACATATATCCATGATTGCATTATATCGTTTTAAATCATATTAGTTAGTAATATAAGTGGACTGATTGTAGATAGAAGAGAATTAGGAGGTAAAGTAATGGCTTGTCTCTATTTGAAAGGCTGTAGACTCAAAGGTATATAGTCCAGTTTCAAGGTTTCGTGGTCTGATCAATATCTTAGCCTGGGTTTCATCCCCAGAGTCCCTAATGGCAGGAACCTCTGGAGCCTCAGTAATGCTATCTGTGTAGTGGAGGGGGCGGTGGGGACTCACGGCTTTAACAGCATGCTGAGGCTCTCATCTGCAATAAATCCTAGCATTGGAAAAAACTATTTTTCATGGACACTCTACAGACTGAGAAGCAGAATAAAAGCTGCCCATCCAAAAAATAAATAAATAAATAAATAAATAACAGCAAAAATAACTCAATGCTTGCACTATTTATGTACATTCATTTATTTAGGAAAACCCTTGAATAATAGGCTCCATAGAACAGACTACGCTCCCTGCTGAAGTGCACTTTGGATCGTGGATACCATGGGGTGCACATAGTGACAATCCACCTCTTCCAGTCTCTGTTCCTAGAGTCTGGATCCACAAAGAGGCACCAAGTAATGGTTTCCTTATGCACCCCTGATGCAAGACTGATGGGCTGACAGAAGGTATGTTAAATATCTCCTGTTCTAACTGCTACATCAGGGCTCTGACCTTCTCTAAAACATGGGCTTAACAAGGGATTCAGAGGGTCAGCTCAGAGGTGATCAGTCACTTGCAGGGACATGAGGTGGGGCTTATTCTCTGGAGGAGGGCTTGGGATTAATGCTGCAGGGTGTAGTGAGAAAGTCACGGATTGCCAGGGAACTCTATGTGTCAATCTCATTGGCTCAGATGGTTTGCTAAAAGAAAGCTATCTAAACTAAAAGGCCAATGTTTCCTTGAAATAACATATTTTGCCCACAGTTGTTGATGACAACTAAGACCATATGTTAAAAAAATTAAGCAGTTGTAGCAATTTTGGTCACTCCCTGAAAATATCATGCGTGATCTCTTATGATATCATTGAATGACTCGGAGCATATAAAGAAATCACTTTTAGCTGCTACCACATCAGATTGTTCTTCAATATCTATTAAACCTTCTGAGCCAGAACCATTTTTGTGTTTGCTAATGACATTTAGCTGTGGTGGCCATTTCACATTTGATTGACTCAATTGCATATGCACACTGAATGGCTAATTTCTAAAGGTTTCAATAAAATCTGTCAAGAGGTTCATGAGATATTTTGCTAACAGAATTGACTCCAAAAAGTTTATGCTAAAGTTTTAAGCAAATATCTTGTACAATTAGTAGCATTCAAAGTAGGTGTTGTGAATGACTCTCAGCTACAACCATATAGTCTTTTTAGCATTATTGCAAAACTGATTGAATTACAGCCAGTCAGATGGCTGTGGCGGCCATCTTAAATTGGGTTGACTAATAGTTAATCACATACAGATCCATTCAGTGGATTTTTTCCTAAAGCTTTACATAATTTCATTCAATAGTTCATGAAATATGTGTTAATAGTTGATTTCAGGTAGTTAATAGCTAATTTTAAACAAGGATCTTGCACAATCTGTGCATGTTTAGGATGTGTAATTTACAAGTAAATTTCTATAAAAATGGTTGAATTATAACCATTTGTTGTGTTTTTTATGTCAGTTGGCTGTGGGAACCATTTTACGACGGAGATTTAGGGACACGCCAAGAAAAAAATTATTAAAAACATAAAATTGCGATAATAAAGTCATAATATTATGAGAATAAAGTTGAATAAAGTCTTAATATTACGAAAATAAAGTCATACAATACTTTTTTTTAAACAATTCTCATTTATTTATTTTTCCTCGAGTCGGATCCACGGCACGGTCTGTCAATCAATCCAGTAGGCATGTCAGCAAATGACCAATCCGAAGCTAAATGGGTCATAATACTATCCGAACTCTGACACAATAAAGCAGGGTTTACTGTATTTTAACTGTGGTAAAATGAAGAATGTTGAGCATCTTGTTAAGTTACAGTATATTTTGGTATTGGTTTTACAAATGAGATAGTTAATCTGTTAGCACATCAGCCTCAGATTATAATCTGTATCAGGACTTTGAACCTGCTTACAGTAAGGTGGTATGCTCCGATGGGCTGCAGCGCCGCTCTCTGAAGGTAAGGAGCACTTAAGATTCAGATTGGTCATTTGCTGACACGCCTACTGGATTGATTGACAGGTCACATTGTGGATCTGACTCATGGAAAAAATTAATAAATACACGATAGCTGTAAAAAAAAAAGTCTCATACAACTTTATTCTCATAATATTCAGACGTTATTCGACTTTATTCTCGTAATTTTATTTTATGCCTTTTTGGGGGTGGGGGGCCGAGATGGTGTAGGGATATGGAAGCAGACTCGTGACCCGAAGGTCCCGGGCTCAATCCCCGGAGGCCCCGGGCTCAATCCCCGGTCATTGCACATCTCGTGGTGTCTCTGTATGATTTTGTCACATTCTGTCCTCCATATCTCTGAGCAGGACACATTATCCCCAGTTGCTCCCTGACCTCTCCCCCACAGCTGCCCACCACTCCACCTGGTGGTTGAAGAGTTAAATGCAGAGAGCCAATTTCGCCATTGTATGGGAGCATACAATGATGACAACACATAACACATTATTATTAAAAAAAAATAAAAAATTCTTAGCGTGGCAATGTATATATTTTTTTATTAGCGTGGCCCTAAAGCTCCGTTGTACCATTTTTATTGAAGTTGGCGCTGAAAGTTTATCAATCGTAGATGTGCATCCAAAAATTTATATTTGCAAGCTTCAATAAAATTTGTTCAGTGGTTCATGAGATATTTTGTTAAGAGACAGTCAAATATATGTGCACATACAGGCAAATGCACCCTGCCTTTGTATTCCTGCAGTGAGGGATTATGTGCCCATAATAATAATAATAATAGGTAAAGATAAAAATAAAAATTAAAAAAATTATAAAGGAACTAAAAAAGTAAAATTGTCAAGAAGAAAACAAACTCACCTGAGAACAAAGCAGCATCACAAGCTCCACCACTGATGTGCTTGACTTCATACACACTAAACCTATTGAGAATAAATGAAAGGAATATATATCAGCCATAGGCGTTAGCCTTATATGTGAAAGACAAAAAAAAGTCTTGTTTTTAGCACAATCAAATTTTTGCATCTTTTATGAGGAAGAAAAATATCACATTTAAAAGAAAAACAGTAGAAAAACAACAAAAAATACATAAAAACAGCACTGGCACTGAATTTGACATTAGGAAAATTTAAAACAAAATTAGTAACACTCAAACTTAGCTTCCAAACTGCCATGAAAAGAACCCAACATCTGTAACAGATGAGCACTTTTCACACAATCATGTCTACAAATCTGTATTCACACATCCCACGGCTCAGAAGAAATTCACAGCTTCTTTCCCCTCCTCAGTTCTGGAGAGTGTGAGCCACTCAAGCAGACAACTCTCTAATGAAACATGGGCAGGTGTGAAAAGCTCATTTGGAGAAACAGCGCTTGGAACTGGTTTTATATTCTGCACCTTCCTGCTGCACCTGGTGAGAATCGCGAGAGGTGCAATAAGCAACGAAAGCAACTTTCTAGGACTAATTATAGGCTAGGCAGAGTAAAAGTCAGTATCACACACCTGCTTTTGTTTTCTAACAGATTTGGAATCAATCAGCAAAGATGACAGCCTACTTCAAAATGTAGATTTTTATTCTTTTTTTTTTTGTCCATAAATGACTAATGGTTAAATAAAGTGATTTCATTTCTATCAGACTGATCTCTTAAAAAAATAGTGCACCATTGCAGACTGATAACCAGGTTTAAACTATTTTTAATTCATTTATGTTTAGAAGCACGAAAGGCTTAAACATTGAAAAGATTAGTAGTGCATTAATATCTGAAATGGTTGAAAACCCTTTGAAATATCAAAAAAATATAAACTCTAGTTGAATAAAAAACTAATACATATACTTATAAACATGCAAATTATAATGATTGAAAATTTTTGTTTTGCATTTAGGAATTTGACTCAAAGTAAGAAAAAAAAAAGAGGTGCACGGTTTTCACAAAAAACAAATTCCTTAATAATTTGTGGAATAACTTGGATAGAGTTGTTTCCGTTTGGAAATTGTGCACAACATAATTGTAGGGCTTCTCCGTTCGTTTTTGTTTATGAATGATGACTGTTGGAAAACACTTATTGTAAACACTGAGAGGATGTGACCCTTCTCTTGTACAGAGCGCCGCTGTTGACCTCTTGTTATAGAAGTGACATGTGAGCCATAAGTCAGTCTGGTTTGACACAGAAGTCAGGTGGCCAACTGACCCTGGCTTTGTGCTGGTAGACAAACTAAATGCATTCTATTTAAACACAGCCTGCCAGTTCTTTCCTGTAAACAGCGCAGGGTTGAGGCATGGGTGAATGTGACATTGTGGGGTGATGTGGCAGCAGGCTGGGCCAGACAGGGGACAGCGAGAAGCAGGCAGCAGGCATCACAACAGCAGCAGTGTTCGCACCCAGCCCTTACCCACCAACTCCAAGTGTGACGCTCAGAGTGCACTTAACATAATTGCTGCAGTGACCACATATCTGAAAAGGGGGTGAAGGGATAGGGTGAGGGAAAGGGGCACGCAGGGCACAGGAGGGCTTGACCCAAGGCAATCAAAAGAGTGATGGATGGCTGGTAATTACTGGTAAATGGAGCGCCTTTGCACTGCAGCACAGTATTTCAACTGTGTTCCTGAGAAGGGCCAGGAAGGAAAGTAGAGAGTCACAGAGAGGAGAGCAAAATTAGCTCAAACACAAACACACGCAACTAGGACAGTCTAAGATTTTATAATGTAAAGTATTCTAAAGACATACAAGTGGAAAATCTTTCTACTCATAATTTCAATTCAACCTGCTTTAATCCATGCTTGGAAGTACATTTCACAGATGTAGACAGGGTTAAACACATCAGGTGAGGACTGCTGAAGAGCCAGCTGTCCATCTACAGCCTTGTTTGTGGGTTACAGTCTGCAGCCTGGGATCAGCTTTGGTTTGTCAGCTTGGTCAGTCTGCTGACAGACCTTGAGTGAAAGGGTAACAGACATATTCACACTTGTCAAGTCCATGTTACCTGTTTTTCTTTGCTTTTCCTTGACATGAAGCAAGTAGCTTTAGTACATGTATGACATCCTCACAACCTCTTACATATGTATGATGTAAGTATGGAGTACAAAAAATGTTTGGCTAGCAAACTTCTCAGTGGAAATCTCCCATTTTTAAGATGCGGATAGCAACACTGTAAAGGAGAACTTAAACAATAATTCCACTTTGATGTAAATGATTGCATCACATATTGTGGAACGATAAATGATGACTTGGGCAGTTCACAGCAGGGTGTGAAGCTGCTGGGATGCGAATCCGGTTCTTTAAATCTGAGGCCATGGTTCTCCACTAGAAAAAGTGGAATTCTCCCACGAGGTTGGTGGTGAGTCTCTGCCTCAAAAACAGGAATTCAAGAATCGGAGTTGTTTTCGTCATAGCAGCATGGAGCAGGAGACTGATCAGCGGTTTGATTCTCGTTCACAGTAATGGGGGTGTTGGTCAGAATTATTGTGGTAAAGGAGGAGATGAACCAAAAGCAAAAGCTCTTGAGTCTGTCTATGTTCCAACCCTCACCTATGGTCAGGAAGTGTGGATCATGACTGAAAGAATGAACTCATACAAGCAGATAAAATGGGCCTACTCCGTAGGGCATATGTGTCAAACTCGAGGCCCGGGGGCCAAATGTGGCCCTCGTTGACATCGTATCTGGGCCCCCAAGATGTTATTTTAAATGTAAAATACTTTAATCACTTTTTTTTTTTTTCAGTAACCTTTGATTATGATGTTAAAAGTGCAACAGAGAACATCAAATGAGACCTATCAAACTCTTGTTGAGGAACCTGCAACCAAGAAAAGATGATGGATATCTAACTTGAGTTAATGTACAGCAGATTCTGAAACTGGACTTTAGTTTCAAACAAGTTTTAATTTTGGCCCCTTTTTGTAAGCGGGTTTGAGCAGCCCTGCCATAGGGTGTCTGGGCTCAGCCTTAGAAATAAGGTGAGGGGTTTCATTATTCAGGGGAGCTCGGAGAAGAGCCACTGCTTCTCCACATCAAAAATGTCTGTTGAGGTGGTCCAGGCAGGTGATTCGAATACCTCCTGGACACCTTTCGGTGGTGGTTTTCCAGGGACCCAAGAGCAGACCCAGAACTTGCAGGGGAGCTTGTGTATCTTCTCTGCAACACATTAGATTCCCCAACGAGAAGCTAAACTGTGCTGCTGTGGCGAGGGATGTCTGGGTTGCCTTTTTATACCGGCTGCCTGCACAACTTGACCATGGAAGAGTGACAGATTATAGATTGATGCAAGAATGGACCTAAATCATGTTGCAGGAGGTCATTCTTTTAACTCGCTTTCACTCACTACATATATGGCATGTCTTCAACTATTAAGGATTTAGTTTACTTTTGAAATTGTATCACACTAAGAAAAATGCCTTAGAAGTTGAGACTAAAAAGACTTCTCGCATACAAAGAACCATTTGCAGATACAGTCTGGCACATGTGTGTGCTGACTGCAGTACTAGCTGTTTTTTGTGAATATAAGCCAAAGCAAATCTGGGGACAAGAAGCGCCAGATATGCAGGCATGGATTCTATGAGGTTAGACACTTTGAGATGCTGCCAGCCTGAGGCCAGAGAAGGGCACAGAGGATCTTCAAACACCCAAAAGACGAATAAAAAAATCAGAGAACACTGCAGCAGAGGGAACATGCTTCTGCAAACACTAAACAATCGACACAGTTAACAAAATATCTATATGTACAGTACTGTGACTGCAGTACTGCTCTGTGGACAAAAACAAAATCTAACTTTCTGAAGTCCGTAAACCTGAAGCCATTTAGACATGTTGCAAGTGTGTGTCTGACACGTTGAATTTCAGTTAGGTCAAAATCACTTTAGTTCCACTAGCAAATGTTTAACTGTGCCAGAGTATTTACTGAAACATTTAACGAGGTTTCTGTAATCTGCTATAGCTGTTTTCTCTTTCTACATGAATGTATGTTTAACTATATTTATTTGATTGATATTAGCAAAAATACAACAACAAAAAAAACTTTAAATGTTCTTTCAGTGTGGAAAAAAGTTGTGTAATAGTTAACATTAGACTTCTCACATCCTCACTTTTAAATAATAAACAATCAATATAAAATTGTCCCCTCTGAGCTTTAGGCTGACATCTAGTGACATTAAAATAAAAATATCAAATATAAACTTCACGCAGACTCTCTCACTGGTACATTTTCATCTTTAAATCACTTCTTGGTCTGCTGCCTTCATACATCTCCTCCTACATGTTTCTGCGCGAGTGCAGCTACAGCGTGCGCTCTCAGGACATTATTACCTGCAGTGTTCCCTCAGTGAGGACTGAACTAGGCAAAAGGGCCTTCTCCTACTCCGCTCCTGTTTCCTGGAATATCTTACAAAAAGATCTGAAGCTCTCGACCTTGACCTCTCTAAGTGGCTTTAAGAATCTGTTGGACTCCTGGCAGGGACCAACGCAGACATGTTCCTGTTTTTGTTTTCTACATTCGCCTTAGAATCTAGCAGTTTTTGTTACTTTTCATTTTTTTGCCTTCCTATTTGTAAAAAAATAATAATAATAATTTGTATGACTTTTTATAACTGTTTATTGTTGTCGCTGTTGTCCATTGTTGTCATCATTCTTTGTTGAATCAGGTCTCTTTTGTAAATGAGTCCTCGAGGCTCAATGGGATTTACCTGTCTAAATAAAGGTTGAACAAACGAAAGAGACGAAAGCCCACAAAAATTTATTTTTATAATGTTACAACTGTGAAAATGTCCTAAAATAATTAATATGTGAAATGAGTATTAAAAATCCTGACAAGCAACAAATGAAAGGAAAACTTAATCAAATGCTGACAGACTCCCAGCTGGTGTGCAAACTTATGCTTCTCTTGTCAACACCAGTTCTGCTGAACCTGCATTCATCGATGGGACAGTCAGCGTAGTTCAAACTGTACAGGCATTGTTTGACAGAGACAGGACAGAACACACCACTGAGAGTAAAATACACCAAATGAAGTCTGTACCTTCTATAAGCAACTCTTGTCCATGGCTGCCCAGCAGGGTTCGTGACAGAAAAGGTGCAAAGTCTACAAAGATCTCTCGCAGCAAGGGTGCTACTTTCTCCAAGGCCCGTTCTAGTTTTGTAGTGATGCTGCTAAAGAAAACACATCATAAGTCACAACAAAACCAATAAATAATATATACAGTAGTCCCTCACTACTTGGTGGTTCGACTTTTGTGGATTTGCTTTTTCGCAGTTTGTCAACGTAAGATTGGACATGATACACATGTGGCTGATTGAAGGATGAGCCGCAAGATCGGCATGGGTTTTTTATTTAAAATAAATTATTTTAAACTATTTAGCACCTGTGTGCAGCCCACATGTGCAGGAAGAAGCTCCCTCTTGCAGCATGTCATGATCTCCGCTCTGCAGTGGAGAAGTGGGCGTGGCTGAGCGTGCTGGCAGGAGGCAGAGAGCTGAATTCATGACATGCTGTGCTCTTTTAGAGCATTTAGAGTTGAGAAACATTGTTTAGAATATTGCAA